TTAAGGCTAGTTAGTATGATTAATCATTAAGGTGAGTGAGTTTTAAATTTTGTTCAATATATTGCAATATATGTTGCTTAATTGCCCCGTGTCTGTTTTATAATTTAAAGTTTGTTTATTTTTGTTGATGTGGTACATCTCCAAAAATAACCTACTTTTGTAATTGTCAGTCTGTGCCAAAATACGAGCATTGTTATAGTCCAACAGATGACCGGTGTTTTTATAATGCTCGACTACTGCACAACTATTTTTTCCCAAGCGGCAATCACTTTTGTGCTGTGTGATACGTTGTTTTAGCCACTGCGATGTATGGCCAATGTAGCTTTTTTCACATTCTAGACACGGTATTTCATATACCACATTACTCCTATATAAGGTTGGTACTGGATCTTTAATTTTGGAAAAAAGTTGTTTGCTATTTATGGTATTGTATTTAGCTATATTAATATTGGAAACATCTTTAAATATGGATATGACTGAATGAGTTAGACCATTGATAAAGGGAAGTTTTTTATATTTGATTGACTCATTGTTGGAATCAAGGACAGGACCATCATAGAAATTACTGCTGTAAATGAGTTTTTTTTTAAATATGTTTAGGATAGCCGTTGTTTCGAAAAATTTTGTATAATATGTCCAGATTTTTCTGTAATAAATTATCATCAACAATGGACATTACCCTATTTTTCATACCCAATATTGTATTATATTTTTGACGAGTGGTGTGGTTTGAAAAGTAATTCATATACCTGCCCGATGCAGTTGGCTTTTGGTACCAATGGTACCAAATTTTTTTGGTCGAAATAATCACATTAAATATTTCATGATGGGTTTTTATTAAGAGATCAGCCAAATATATGGAACAAACATTACAACTTTAATGAAACAATGGGCGAAGTTAAACATAAGGATAGCAAAATTGAACAACAGAAGAATTTTTTTATTACGTTGTAGAACATCTAATGTTACACCTGAGCACGTTCGTAACAGTGTTTTTAATCTACGAAGCTTATTATACGCAGGTAATGACAATTTTTTAAATATTAAAGTAGATAAATTCATTAATGAGATCCATAAAAAAACGTTGAATTTAGAAATAAAAATAACTTGTAGGTATTAGTATTTCAAATGCGAAAACTGATATTAATAAAATTAAGTGTGAGTTACAACAATTTGTTCCTAACAACATATTAATTGAATATGAACAAAGATTAAAGAATAGTTTTTTCTAGTGTTTTTCAACCAAGTCAAGCGTACTAACATAAAAAAGTTTGAACATCTAACTAATAACTTATTTTCCAACCACTTATTTTTGAACAATGAAAAATGGTTTAAAAACTTGTCCAGCGTTGACTTTCCAAAAGAAGTGTCTGATTTTCTTTCTCTTGGTCCAAAATTTAGTGTTGAGTGTACACCCCCAGATTTTAAGTTAGATATCTTTTTAGCAGATGTAGAAAATATCATCGATGAGGTGACAGTTGAATCCAAAGATCTACTTAGGGCGCAAGTAACAAATGTAGTAACGAATTATCTACACAATTCAACATCCAAACCTCCCACAACATTAAACAAAACGTTTAAATATGTTCAAAAATATTTGAAGTTACATTCAGACATATATATTTTACAATCTGACAAAGGTGGTTGTACGGTAGCTATGAACAAACAAGATTATATCGACAAAACATTAACGTTGTTAAACGACAGATCGACATATATTGATTTGGACAAAGACCCTACTACAGTGATACAGAAAAAATATAATGACTTAATAAAAACATTAAAAAACCAACATCAACTTACTGAACAAGTGGCAAAAAAGTTAACAATATATGACTCATATTCTCCTAAACTTTATTGTTTGCCTAAAATCCACAAATTGGACGTTCCTCTCAGACCTATTGTAAGTTCTTTAAAGTCCACTACGTATAATATTTCTAAATTTCTTGCTGATATATTAAATGATGCCTTTGAATATCGCAACAATTATAATTCTAAGGACACATTTACTTTTGTCAATGCTGTTAGGGGAATGCAGTTGCCAAAAGATTATGTTTTGATTTCTTTGGATGTGGTTTCTTTATTTACAAACATTCCACTAACTATGGTCACGAACATTATAGAATCAAATTGGAACCTTATAAAAGACTACACGACATTATCTAAAGGTAATTTTCTACTAATTCTCAGGTTCATTTTTAATAACACCTATTTCAGTTTCAATGGAAAATTTTACTCCCAAATTTTTGGAACACCTATGGGTTCCCCGATTAGTCCCATCCTTGCTACTATTGTAACTGATCATCTCTTAGACAATGTGATCACGCAATTACCTTTCGAATTACCATTTATATATAAATATGTCGATGATATCATATGTGCAGTTCCATCTTATCACATCAATACCACATTAAACATCTTTAATTCATTTAACAAACATCTTCAGTTCACAATTGAAACAGAGACAGATCTTAGTATACCATTTTTAGACACAAAGGTAATAAGAACAAATGACAATATCTTGACATTGGATTGGTACCAAAAGCCAACTGCATCGGGCAGGTATATGAATTACTTTTCAAACCACACCACTCGTCAAAAATATAATACAATATTGGGTATGAAAAATAGGGTAATGTCCATTGTTGATGATAATTTATTACAGAAAAATCTGGACATATTATACAAAATTTTTCGAAACAACGGCTATCCTAAACATATTTTAAAAAAACTCATTTACAGCAGTAATTTCTATGATGGTCCTGTCCTTGATTCCAACAATGAGTCAATCAAATATAAAAAACTTCCCTTTATCAATGGTCTAACTCATTCAGTCATATCCATATTTAAAGATGTTTCCAATATTAATATAGCTAAATACAATACCATAAATAGCAAACAACTTTTTTCCAAAATTAAAGATCCAGTACCAACCTTATATAGGAGTAATGTGGTATATGAAATACCGTGCCTAGAATGTGAAAAAAGCTACATTGGCCATACATCGCAGTGGCTAAAACAACGTATCACACAGCACAAAAGTGATTGCCGCTTGGGAAAAAATAGTTGTGCAGTAGTCGAGCATTATAAAAACACCGGTCATCTGTTGGACTATAACAATGCTCGTATTTTGGCACAGACTGACAATTACAAAAGTAGGTTATTTTTGGAGATGTACCACATCAACAAAAATAAACAAACTTTAAATTATAAAACAGACACGGGGCAATTAAGCAACATATATTGCAATATATTGAACAAAATTTAAAACTCACTCACCTTAATGATTAATCATACTAACTAGCCTTAATGATTAATTAAAGAAATAATATTCCTCTGTTTTCTTATATTTTAGTTTTTGCATTTGAAATAATTTTTAGTTGTTTCCATCTCATTTACTTACTGTTAACGAACGTGCTCATATATATTTACATTTTAACAAACTTATATATTATCAAAAAAATGTTTATTTTAATATCAAATTTATTTATGTGTGAAATCTTTTAAGTCTGTAAGTATTGTAAATCTAAGTGTACGTCAGTTTTTTTTTTAAATGTTTGTTTTTTACAGTTACTCCTGATGAAGCTTTTAAATAAAGAGCGAAATATTGAGTTTTAGAAAAAACAAAGATTTTTATTTTAATATAGACCACATACCCGATATTTCCAACATACTGATAAATTGTTTTTTGGTCGAAATAATCACATTAAATATATATATATATATATATATATATATATATATATATATTATATATATATATATATATATATATATAAGCGAGGTTCTCTGCCGCTTCTCGCATTTCGATCGCCATCGTTCTCTGTCCATCCATTCGTCTTCTTTGATGGCTCTATCTCTCATTAGGTGTCGTACATTTTCTTTCCAGGCAAATGATGGTCTTCCCCTTCTTCTTCTTTGTTGTGGTATGTAATTTAAAGCTTTCTTTGGCCATCTATCTTCATTCATTCGCTTCACGTGACTATACCACACTAGTTGTCTCGTTTCAATTCTGTCTACACTGGAATATACAGTATTTGTCCTCCTTCTAATGTTCGATAGATTGTCAATTTTGTTTCTTGTCTAATGTCTTAAGACCATAGTAGAGAGTTCAGAATGTTAACCGCTTTTTTTCCCTGCTGCGTCCTGTTTTCGATATCTCTTTTGGTCGTGCCTTCCTTAGATATTATAGATCCGAGATATTTATATTCATTGCATGTTTTTGTGTTTCTAATTTCCAACTCTGGATCTTCTTCGTCATCTCCTATTTTTAAATACTCTGTCTTTAACATATTCATATTGAGGCCCCGTTTTTCACATTCTTTCTTTAGTTTTCTAATCATGTAGTCCATGTCTTCCTCATCATTCGCTATGACTACCTGATCATCTGCGAAAAATAAAGTTGTTAGACATTTACCATCGCCTATGTCTATTCCCATTCCGGATACTTGTTTCCTCCACTTCTCTAGCGATGATTGAATATATATTTTAAATAAGGTTGGAGATAGACAACATCCCTACCTACCAAGATGCATTATTAAATTAATGAAAAAAAAGTTTGTATTGTGCATTGAAGATAAGTTATTAAAACCATGCATTCACGAGTATTCTACGTTTATTCTACGAGTATCTTTGAGAGCCTTTATTGAAATATGTGAACTAAGAAACTATTAATTTATTTTTTTGTTAAATATCTAGTTTGATTATACTCTTTTTACGATATGCCTCTTGACCAGATCTTTCCATCTGTATTTTAATTTTTCTCTTTGTATTGTGATATCTGGTATATAATATATTAACTCTATTCTAATTGTTTTTAAAATAGGAGAACGATATACCTTGTAGACGATATAACATCTATATAAATATTGGTCTAAATATTTATTAGTGATTTTAGATTTCTTTGATTTATTTTAGCGTTTTTGTTATTTGATCTGTTAATTATTAATACACCTTCCTAAACTATTAAATATTTTTATTTTTCTGGTAAAGTAGAGTTTAAAAAACCGATTCTTTATTTATCACGGTCAAAATAAATTAATTCACATTTTAGTTAAACTACAATTGATATTTATATTAAGTTTTCAACAATTTTTTACGCAAGGTCCATCCTTTCTCTGTCTGATGTATCCTTGTTTACAAACACAACCCGAATTGCACACCATAGGACAAATATTACATGATGGTGGATTTCTACGTTCACAGGTTGCTTCCTCACAACAAGATTTGCATTGAACAAATTCTGCATTTGGACCACAAGCACCTAAAAATTTAAATGGTTATTATAAAAATGATCTGCCTTCATAACAAAGTCAATGAGATATAAAAATTAGTTTTATTCACTAAAAATAATTTATTTAATGTTTTTGAATATGTATTTAACGTTTAATCCCTCTATAGTTTAGAGGGATATTTAAACTATAGAGGGATCGCAGTGATTGCTACTAGAGGCCGATTATATTCAAAAGTACTGAGAAACCTGTTAGAAAATGATAATAAAGATAAATAATCCGAAGAACAAGCGGTATTTAGGGCCGGACGCTCCACTATGGATAATATTTTCACATTAAAAATTGCAATGGAAAAACGAGTGCAGAGAAATAGAGAAACCCATATAGCTTTAATAGACCTGGAAAAAGCATATGATAGTGTACCGATCTCCCAACTATGGATAGAAATGGATAACTTGAAAATAAACCCAATTCTTATTAACGCCACTCAAAAATACTACGAACAAAACTTTGCAAGAATTAAAATGGGACAAGAAATCACCTCTGCTTTTCAAACAACAAAGGGACTAAGACAATGCTGCTGTCTGTCACCCACCTTATTTAAAATCTATTTGGACAGATCCTTAGTGAAATGGGTAAAAAAATGTAGAAACATGGGAATAGCAGTGGAAGAAAATACGCTATATACACTTTTCTTTGCGGATGACCAGGTAGTCATTGCCGAAGATAGCTACGATCTTAGCTATATGGTAAGAAAACTGCAAGAAGAATATGAGGTGGCAGGTCTAAACATGAATATGACAAAATGTGAATATCTATCAGTGGGAACAGATAAAATATGTGACCTAGTCTTGGAAGACGACAAAATCAAAGGCGTACAATCCTGCAAATATTGGGGGTCATTTTCAATAAGAAGGGAAATAGCGCAGATGAAATCAGGGAAAGAATAAACAAGGGTAGAGCAGCGACACGTGCCTTAAACTCTCTTCTCTGGCAAAAAACAATTCGACGAGAAACCAAAAAACACATTTACGGTAGTATAGTCCAAAGTATTACACTTTACGGTTCGGAAGTATGGGACGTCACCAAAGCTAATAAAAACAAACTTATGACGACAGAAATGGATTATCTGAGACGAAGCTGCGGTAGATCGAAACTAGAAAGAGTTAGGAACGAACAAATAAGAAACGAAATGAAAATGGAGCGAAATATCAATGATGACATAGAAAGAAAACAATTAATCTGGTTCGGACATGTTAAAAGAATGCCAGAGTACAGATGGCCTAAAAGAGTACTAGAATGGATCTCTCCTGAAAGAAGAAAGAGAGGACGACCACGGAGAAGTTGGCGCAACGATATTGATGAAGCAATGGCGGCAAGAGACTTAGAAGAGGCAACTGGGTATGACAGAAAAAGATGGAAATTGGGGGCGGAGAAGCGGAGCCGTAATCAATCCGTTATTATATTATTAAATATTTAACGTTTAACTAAACGCTATAATTTATTCGGTATACCGTCCCTACCATCCCACCGACATTTCTAATCACAACACTGACTATAAGGGTCCACTTAATCTATGTTTGATTTATCTACTACAAGCTTCGTCAGTGACCAAGTAATTGCTACACAAAGATTGTTTTGAAAACTCAAAGGTAGTTTACGACTTATTTATGCAGTACACAAGCCCTAAGTATGTAAGTAAATGTTCATCAGCATCATTGTCATTCAGCATTTTGCGTCCAAAGTTCAATATAGGTATTTTCATTTTCAATTCTTGAGCTTTTTGCAGCCAATTCCCACCGATTCTTTTGACGTCGTCTGTCCATCGTATAGGCAGCTCCCTCTACTTCAGTCATGTTATGGGCTCTATGATATCTGTGATGCCTGTCCTTCTTATTTCTTGTTTTTTCTAACCCTTTCTTTAAGAGTGAGTCCGAGTAACGAGTGTTACATTGTTCGTTAGTCCCCCCGAGTTTGGTTGCTTTGGACTGGGTTAAAGAAAGTGTTTTGTCGCCGTATGTCATAAATGGAAGCACATATTGATCAAATGTGCCCAAGCTAAAGTGATTTTTCTTTGCTGTTCAGCTGTTTAATTGTTCTTGGCTATTTGGATTTTATGACTTTTTATATTAAATTACTACTCTTCTTGGTGACTTGAAAGCATGGATATTATAATAAAGGCACCTAAATAAGTTGGCCGCCTTTGAATTTTGTATTATTGAACTATTTTATATTAAATAAATAGTATTTATATTTGTAATCTAATGCTATTTCGTTGCAGCTGACTTTTGGATTTTTGCTTGGTGCCAGATTTGTCATGTATTGTGTCTTTCTAAAGTTATATTAAAACTAACTTCCTTACATGGGGTATCTAACAAGGTAAACATATTTTTATTCAATTTTTAGTGATCTGTTATAATAACTAAAATAAAAAAACCAAAAATAACTGTACCTATTGAAAAACATGAAGATGGCCAATGATATTGTTATTTCATCTTCTGTTTAGTACTTAATTGAAATTAACAATTACACCCTCTTCAATGCTGGGATATCAATATTCATTAATTATGTAGAAAAGTTTTTCTCGTAAATATTTTCAGTATTTGCTTCCATAACACCTCATCTATCTTAAAGAGATAAAAGACAAACTTTGCTTGATGAAATCATAAAGAAAGTTAAAAAAGAAGAGGATATAGAATGGAGAAATAAGGATAATATGCTATGCCGACGACGCCATAATACCATCCGAAAATGAAGATGACCTACAAAGATTAATTAAAGAATTCGAAGATACGGCGCTCATATACAACATGGTGATCTCAACAGAGAAAACTAAAACGATAGTGATATCAGTGGAACCGAGACTAGTCGTAAATAACAAAATAATAGAACAAGTGATGGAAACTGAATACTCGGGAATAAAACTGTCAAGCTACGGAAAAGTGGAAGAAAAAGTACAAAAACAAGTGAACATGGCAAACAGAGCAGCAGGATGTCTCAACAACACAATCTGGAGAAACAAATACCTCACAACGGAAACGAAAATCAGGACATATAAATCAACAATAAGGCCGATAATGACGTACATAGCGGAAACAAGAGCAGATACGGCGAAAACACAAAGACTGCTGGAAACAACAGAAATGAAAGTCTTACGAAAATAACAAACCAAACTCTAAGAGACACAGTAAGACGTCAGGAAATGTGGTATAGAGGAAATAAACGTGTGACCAAAAGAAGAAAAGTGGAATGGAATCAACACATCGAAAAAATGACAGAAAATAGAATAGTACGAACAGCAAGAGACAAATCGCCAAATGGAAGAAGATCATTGGGACGACCGAGGAAAAGATGGTCGGACAACGTCAATTGAGGCTAAGAACCGAAGTAAAACAGGCATTAAGCCTATTTATAAAGTAGGAAAAAGAAGAAGAAGAGTTTAAAATTTGTATTTTAAATACCACCAGTGTTTTAACCGCTTAACCTCAATATAATCAATTAAATGTCTTAAGAGTTTGTATGAAAATAATAAGAAACCAAGGATAAAAAGTATAGAATTTACTTACCACCTTGACATTGAACCTGCACAATCAACACAATTAAAAAAGTCAATATTATTATGTTCTTCATGTTACTGCAGGTGAATTATCTCGTATTGAGAATACGTCAACCGGTCAAGCTGCATATATATACAAAAAATGCAATTACAAATTTTGCACATCAACTTGTTTGCATAAAAAATTATAATGTAAACTTTATTGTATGCATAACAATGCTTTGTTTGAAGTTTACCTTGAAATCTATTATCTAGTTTCTAGGAAATAAATCTACGAGAAGTGCAAATGATAATTGTGAGGTGTCTTACCAAGTCGCTGGTGTAATTTTAAATTGTTGTAATTAAAGTAAGTAATAATCTAGATTGTCTTTTTATAAAAACAATAATTTTTATACAAAAACATTGTCTAATTTCTGAGAAAAATAGAATTAATCAAAACAATAAAGTAATTTTAGTATCATTTGGACGTTTTTAGTTAAGTTTGTGTTTATTCAACATGAAATCTGGCAAAATCCATTTTTTGTTACGTGTATGGTTAGTTGGGGTTACACTAAGCCCAGTTTGTTTTGCAAAATTAGACACTGATATTTAAAAAAATGACTTCAATAACTTTGAAAACGTTTATTTTGTTATAACATAAATTTAAACAAATATTTGAAATACTTATCACGCATAAAAAATTAAACTAAGAAACAACCTCAAAAACTGAGTTATTTTGTAAGTAGATAAACATTATCCTGTAACAAAAAAATGAGGAACAAAAAAATGTTTTTTTCTTAAAACATAAACTTAAACATTCAATTTAACCTACCACCACAAAATAACCAAAAACAAAAAACATCATAAAAACTACAATCCATTCTTATTGGCAATCTTTGCAAATGTATGTTTCACACATGTGTCATATTGGCGCTTTGCAACTAACGCAAACTATCTTCGTTTTTCTATCCAATGATCGTAGACATTTTGAGCACCTTACTCTTTTTTGTCTAAAATAGCATTTTTCTGTTCATGAATGTCTGTTCTTAAAATGGAAGCGATATTATGTCTCAGTTGCCTTGGAATTTGAGAATTAGTTAGTCTTCTTTCCATATGATCCTGCACAAGCTGCCGAGCCAGAGATTTGATGAATTCATACCTCGACTTTTGGTGGTTTCTAGGTAGTGGTAGTCCATAAGTATATTATAAACGCATTAACTGAAAAAATATAGAAAATTGTATAAAAACAAGTAAAAGGCTTCTTACGATGCTCTTAATCTTCGATTTGTACGATGTGTAGAATACACTGTACATTTTTCTTCTATTGCATCGACACCTTCTTTTGTTTGATTATAAAACTCGATAATTTTGGGTTTGTTTGTTTCGTCATTTACTGCATTACTGTTTATAGTGCATTGAAGACATCAAAAGTACCGCTTTTCGTGATTTAGTTGCATATGAAACTAATGTAACTCTATCGCCAAATCCAAATAGAGATGATCCCGTGTGCCTCGTTTTAGTTGGCAAAAAAGAAATAGGTATCTCCCTTTTATTTTTTTTAACCGTACCCACATAAGTTAGGCCTCGGTTCCTCAACTCAGTTATTACTTCTCAGGATGTACGTTACGTTACGGTTAGAACCCTCAATACATTTTACTAAACGAAGAACTGATTTTGTTGGTTTGTTAAATTTTCTTTCCTGTTCTGACAATGTTTAGCCATTACTTCCAGCACCTCTATATACATATCCATCCAAAAGTAATGGGTTCGGGCGTAAGTGCCATTACCTTTAAGCCATATTTTCGGGATTTTTGAGGCATGTACATTGTACATGCGAAATAAACATCTTCCCAAAAACCAATAAGAATTTCATCAATACAAGCAGCAATATAGTTGCCCTATGCAATAATTTTTTTGCTGTTTTCTACAAACGTATTAAAGATTGATGAAATGGGGGCAAGTTTTTCGGTTTTTTTACGTTGTTTCCTCGTAGTTTCGTCATCAAACCTGAGCGCTGTCTAAAGTACTAAGAATCGTTTTACTGACATAATGCAACTAAAAATGTCTCTACCAGTACCGTCAGTGGCGAATATCGAACTCAAGTCTTCCGTATTGGATTTAAATATGTCTGAGTAAAACACCAAACCAATAAACGCGCTCAGTTCCATAATGTCTAAATCTTTTAGTTTTATTCTATTCCTATCGGTATATTTTTTTCTAATTCTGCTAAGTTTTTCATTTGTTCTAAGAGTAATCTCTTTTAAAATATCTTCTTCTTCTTCTTCTTCTTCTTTTTTATAAGCAAAATGCTTGTTCAATGTCGATTAATGCCTCTATTGGAGGTTATCACTCCATCTTTTGCGTGGTCGCCCGATACTTCTTCTACCTTTTGGTGATTTGTCCCTCGCTATTCTGACTAATCGGGTCTCTTCCATTCTGTTTATGTGTTCGTTCCATTCCTTTTTTCTGTTCAGTGTCCACTCATTTATTTCTGGTATATTGCATTTTCTTCTGATCTCTTCACTCCTCATTCGATCCCTCAGTGTGTTTCCTGTAATTCTCCTCAGTAAACGCATCTCCGCTGTTTCTAGTAGTTGCTGAGTTTTGGAGGTATCCGGTCTTGTCTCTGAAGTGTATGTCATTATTGGTCTTATTGTTGCTTTGTAGATTCTTGATTTCACGTCGGTATTAATGTGGGGATTGCGCCATATCGTGTTATTAAGACAACCTGCTATTTTATTAGCCTTTTGTACTTGATTTTTCACTTCCTTCTCCACATCTCCGTAGCTAGACAGTGTAATTCCTAGGTAATTTGTCTCCATTACTTGCTCAATGCTGATACCGTCGATTTCCAGTTTACATCTAATTGGTTCTTTACTGATTACAATTGTTTTAGTTTTCTGTGTAGAGATCACCATATTAAAGTCCTTTGCCCTTGTGTTGAATCTATGGGTTAGTCTTTGTAGATCGTCTTCATTGGATGCAATTAGGGCCGCATCATCTGCATAGCAGAGTATTCTGATTTCTTTGTTCCCCATTTTGTATCCTCTTCCTTTATTAATAGTATTGATGATTTCATCCATGATTAGATTGAATAGCGTTGGACTAAGCGAGTCTCCTTGTCTTATTCCATTGCCCATATCTATTGGATCTGTAAGCTGGTCATCTATTCTGACTTCCATATTGTTGTTCTGGTAAATGTTCTCTATTGTTTTTATAACATTTAGTGGAATTTCTCTATCGTAAAGAAGGTGAATTACATCTTTAAGCTTTACTTTATCGAACGCTTTCTTCAGGTCTATTAGACATATGAATGCTGGTCTGTTATACTCTAGTGCTTTCTCGGTAATCTGTTTTATGATGAATACTGCATCTGTGCACGATCTTCCTGTGCGAAAACCCTGCTGTTCATCCGCTAAGGTAATTCTCTGATTTATTTGGCCTTGCAATATTTTGGTTGTAAGCTTCAAAGTGGTGTTTAATAAGTTGATACCTCTGTAGTTTTCAGGTTGTTTTTTATCTCCTTTTTTGTATAGTAGGATAAGCTCGCTTTTCTTCCACTCTTCAGGTATTTTATTATGTTTGATGATTTTGTTAATTAGTGCTGTTAGCTGTTCTGTTAATGCTTCTCCACCATATTTCAATAATTCATTTGGAATTCCATCTTTACCTGCAGCTTTTCTGTTCTTCAGTTTTTCTAAAGTTTGTTTTACTTCTTGTACGGTTATCTCGACTTCCTCGTTTGTAATGATTTCTGGTGTTTCTGGTTCTAACATCATTTGCTGTTCATCATTATAAAGCTTCTTTAGGTATTCAATCCATGTGTCGTTATCTATGTGTTTCGGTTCGATTAAGTCTTTCATCTCTGATCTTTGGCCTCTTATGAAACGCCATATTTCCTTTTGTAGACCGTAAAAGTCGTGTTCCATTTCTTTTGAGAAGCGTTCCCAGTGTTCGTTTTTAATTTTTCTTACTAGTGCTATTGTTTCGTTTCTTATCTTTTTGTAATTGTTGTATTCTTGTGGTGTTTTGTTAGACATGTATCTTAAGTAAGCTTTCTTTTTTTCTTTGCATTTTTCTTTCACTTCTGCGCAGAACCACGGAGTTTTCCGCTTTTGGAAATATTTATTTTTAAGAATTTTCCTTTCTCCTACAGCTTCTTTTGCTGAATCTAGGATGCTTGCTTTAATTTTCGCCCAGCTTTCTTCGATTCCATCACTTTCTACGATGTGCACGTTGTCGAGTTTATCTTTGACTCTCTTTTGGTATAGAAGTTTTGTTGATTCGTTCTGCAGACTCTCGACTTTTACCTTTGTGGTGTATTCTTCTTTTTTATTTTTATTGTTTTTATTGTTACATATGCGTGTCGTCATTCTGATTTTTCCAAGTATAAGCTTATGGTCGCTTCCTATTTCTGCAGATGTTAGTGCTCTTATGTACAATACTTTAAATATCGTTTTCGTCCAATATTTTAAAATCTCGTTTGTTATTATACATTCCCAAGCACTTTTCTTGAGACACAATTTTCCAAAAGATTTGGCTTGCCCAATAACCCCAGGAAGACGAGAGATAATGTTAAAATTTCTTGTTCTTACATTTAAAGATGGAACTTCTGCAGTCCACTTGTATCAATTTTTGCCATAGCACGTTCTCGAAGGGCCTGGAGTTTGTTGCTGCTCGTGTGGATCCGAGTCCGAATTAACCTCCAAAGGTGCTATTGTTTGCCATTTTTGTAATGTAAAAATTGTTTTACAGTGTACTACTGATAAAGGTATAAAATAAATAGCGAAATATTGAGTTCCTTAGAAAAAAACACAGATTTTTAATAGAGACCACTATACCTGATAATTTCTACGTGTTTATAAAATCTTTTTTGGTCGAAATATATATATATTTTACACGAACTTACAGAAGGTGGAAAAACTTTGTCAGATTTACATAGAGATTCTGTAAAATTATGTCGATGAGTAATTGGATTAGGAAAATTACCAATTTTAAAGCAAAATCATTAAGGAGTATAACCTATCTTTTATGTACCGAAGAAGGATCAGTATGAGTTGCGTTTGGAGTGTCGCAATTGTTCAGAAGCCAAGAAAACTTAATTGGAAGACGAACACATTTAAAGGAAAAAGTACTCAGCCGAGAAGAAAAACAAAACGACAAATAGAAGACTGCCGATGATGTGACAGTTTTATTTTATGAACTTTAAAATGTTTTACCATGTCCTACTGGACATGCAAAATTTATTCTATTACGTCTCAGAATTGAATGTTTTTAATTTTAGTATTTTTAACATCAAACCACAGAAGAAATCTACTATTTGTGGCACGAGGGAGAAGGTATGCGAGGTGCGAACGAAATAGGAACATGTCCATTTAAATTACTTGAAGATCTTTCTAATAAAAATGATGTAGCAGATTAGAACATAATTTTTTACTCTGACAATTTTTGTGGGCAACACAAAACAAGTGTATACTGGCCCTTTATGTATACATGGTCAACAAACTAACAATCAAGTCTATTACCCACAAATTTTTCGTTAGGGACATAGCCAAAACAAAGGAGACAGCGTAAATACCAAAATCGAGAATGATCACAGTAATATATATATATATATATATATATATATATATATATATATATATATATATATTATATATATATATATATATTATTGTGATATTCAAAGTCTTAGTGCGCCAAGCAATTAATTAGCTAATTAATTAATTAATTAATTAAAATTATTTAAATGATATGATTATGATTCTATCACACTTTTTAATTCTCTTATCTCAGGGTTATATTCGTGCTTCAATATCTATGCTTTACATGTGAAAGGTAAGGTCCAAAGAATACCGGAATAATAAAAAACATATATGATATAACATTATATATTGAAATAAAAATAATGAAATAAAATTCACACTCAAATGTTTTCAATAAACAATATCTCATATAATGATTCTCAAAATTTTGTTCTACGTACGTGAACCTTCAAAATTAATGGTACAAACAATATTAGTTAAAATCTCAAAATCCCAATTATTATTCTAAATCTCCTAATCAAAATATTTATATCTTTTCTAAAGTAATTGTAAAAATTGTGTTATCAATAAAAGAAAAACTGCAGAAAAACAAAACTATCTCTCTATGATGATGAGTGGTCCAAATCCTTGTTCCTTGTAGCCTATACTATCTATTCTTAGCAGCTCCCTAGGTAATCAGCAATCTTACAACAAATTGTTGCAAGTTTATCGTCCTTAATGATCTCCTTCAAATGCACGAATCGTTCAAATTATGCTAGCCTCTTCTCCTCTCGATAAACTGAATCTCTCGTTGGCCTGAGTGAAAAATGACTCTTGGAATATCTTCTCTTTACGATAAACTGAATCTCTCGTTGGCCTGAACAGTGACTCTTGGAATATAAGTAGAAAAATATGACTTACAATCTTTTACTGGATCAGCTTCTGTCAGATACACTAACTACACGAAAACTCACAAACTTTCACTGCTACTGCTTCCTACCTCTGGGAAACTACCCGAGAACAACGGCCGTTCGCCTTGCACCCTTGGAAACCAACTGACTATCTTTTTTTCTTCAAAAACTAACTAAAGTCTCATTCTCAAACCAACCATCCCACCTTTTTCAATCTCATCCAATCAAAACGCGTCATACATCTCCCATTTCTTCATTTCGATAACACAAACAAATTTTTACCTACAATTATAAAATTTCCTAAAACTTATTTACAAACTAATCTTTTTCTACCAATTCTTATGAACTAACAAAAACATATCTTTCTAAAATCTATTCTATTGTCCTAATTACTGCACAAATTTATTTGGAAAACCCGCTTCCATTGTCTAAGATTTCACTTAAGCTCCTCACGTCACTCAAATATATTTTAACAAAGAAAATAATTTATGCATATCTTACGTTTTGTTCAATATAGGTAATCCAAAGATAAAGGACTTTCATTCTTCGAAATGTTTGTAGTTTATTATTCGACTTATCTGAATTATTTTAATTTTTTGAACTTTGAAATATTTTAAGCAAACCAATATTTTTCTCGATTTTACATATCATAACAATATATATATATATATATATATATATATATATATATATATTATATATATATATAATTCTTTGGAGGGTAACTTTCGGGAAAGCGAAGCTTTTCGAGAAATATATATATATATATATATATATATATATATATATAATATATATATATATATAATTCTCCCATCATAGTTTTAGTCACCATACTCCTTCGAAAGTCGCCATTCGGTGACCAGATTAAACGGAATAAGAACTTTTATTTAAAGATTTTAGGGTGAGCTATCTTTATAAATAATGAGATACTAGCTAATTGCATTTAATTACTTAACCCTCCGTTAGTCGCTATCGGTCTCACACACCGACGACAGAATTATTCTTTCGGGATTTACAAATAACTGGTATTTTTCTATCGCCACTTTCTGTACCTCTCCCTGTCAACCAAACTCGTGTTACTGTACATTCTTACATTCCTGGGTACAGTTATGTGAGTTTTATAGTTATTTTCGGTGCCAGACTCCATAGCGACTAACGGTGTAGCTATTATTTGTTGCAGAACTTACAGAACAGGTAAATATTTATCATCTTATTATTGCATTTTATCGGTAAGTTTTTGTCAATTCTTATTTATAGATGTCCTTTAAGCCGAACAACTTTGATTCCAACGCTTGTTGGAATTATGGACAATGGTTCCTACCGACGATGAAAATTATTTTGACGATGAGGGAAGTGAAAGCGAAATCAATCAAATTGAGGAACGTGTTGGTAGAAATGAATCGGAACAAGATGTGACAGATGAGAAAAAGAAAGTGGAAGTAATACCTTAGCGTTTATTGGAAAATATAGAGTTACTAGATGAAAAAAGGCTATTTTGTTTATAATGTTTGTATTTTGAGAACGATATCCGAAGTGAAAATTAAAACATCAATAAACTTACTTTAACCTTTAATTGTGGCTTATTCCCATTTAAACAGTAATTACTTTAACATGCCACAAGAAAATAGCTTCAGAACAATATTCACAATATATTGTTATACTAGTGTTTTTCATTTTGTATCTGTTTTTGTTTTCAATAATATATTTTCAAAAATATTTTTTAGTTATTCCTAGACACAATATAAAATATTTGTACGAATTTTATATTAAAAACTATTTTTTTTAATTGTCGGTCTCAGACACCGTAGCGACTCTTGATGCTCAGTTTTTCCTAGCGACTAACGGAGGGTTAAACTTGACTTTTTTATGGGGCCATACTCATTCTAACACAAAACTAGGATAAGGTGTAAGTTTAATAGGTATTGAAAATAAACATTAATAAACATTTTTTTACTTATTCTTTTTAATTCATAAAGGATAGGCAAAACAAACTCATCTCTTAATATCTTATTAAATTTAAAAATTGATATAACTTTTTGAAAACTATTTTCGGACTGGAATCAAAATAAAAGCACGTAATTTTAATTTCAAAAATACGAAACTAATTTCTAAGTAAACTTTATCATTAAGTATTATTATTATTTACTAAATTTCTAGTATTTATATAAAACATTTTAAACATTCTCGTTTGGTGGATGTCGTAAAGAAAAAATGTCTACTTAAATCAATGTATCCTGCCTATAAATTACTCATATCACGATTATTGGTGCCACTTGTTTTCGACTCACGATAAATACTGTACAGTAGTGTAGTACTGATAACAGTAACCAATCTAAAGATAGACAGTGCTAGTTAAAGAAAACCTCCTTCTTTGCAGGTAACTAATTAAAATATTAATGTGGTACAGTAGGTGGGTCCAATAAACACATTTTTAGTACCGCCTATGTTATTGAATTCGAAGGAGTGCTTAGTGAGTTTATTTCGACTTTTTTATAATTATTGTAGTTTGTTCTAACAGACACCAAATTAACCACAAATATACAAATGCTAATCAGATTTCTTTATTTTGTTGATTAATTCAGAACCTACCTCATTCAATAGGTAAAAACATTATTGTTTTTTATAAAATACCAATTTACTGACACTGCTCATTGATCACTTACTTTAATTACAATAATTTAAAGTAGAACATGGTTTAGATTATAATGTAAGATGGTTAGACATCTCACTATATTATAATCTATGTTTCTTTTAGATTTATTTCCTAGAAATTAGAAAATATTTTTCAAGGTAAAGTACAAACAAAACTTATATTACGCATACAATAAACTTTGAATAATTGATTATGCAAATAACTTTGTGTGCAAATTATGTAATTGACTTTTTTGTGTATATATGCAACTTGACAGGTTTACTTTTTATTAGTAATACGAGATAAATTCCCTACAGTAATGATGAAGAGCATAATAATATTTTCTTTTTTAATTTTGGCGATTGCACAGATTCAGTGCCAAGATGGTAAGTAAATTCCATATTTTTTATTCTTCACGTTTAACTCTTTTGTATAAAGTTTCAAAATTTAATTATTAGTATTAAGATTAACCGGTTAAAAATATAAATTTTAAATTATTTTGACCTAATATATTTTTTAAAATTTTAAAAATCGTAGAATAGCAGACAGTTTCTAACAAAAAGATCCCACTACTGTTGCAATTTCATATACCTCTACAACTGGAAAGTGTTAAAAGGTAAAGAAACCATAGACTTGTTAATTGGAAAGTATTTATTTATTTTGTACTCTCCTACCTCATTTTTATGTTGTTTTGACATCGTTTAAATTTTATCTTCTTAAACTTTTATACCTAAGTTTTGTATTGAGTTTCTGGATGTGTATTCTTTCCCAATTCTATCCCCAATTTTCCTTTATCTTCTTTTTACATAGTCCATAGATTTGTTGGAAACAGAGAAACAGAGAAACTGTTGGAAACTAGAACTAATAATTTTGTTGTTTATGTACAATTTTGTTATTACTAATAAAGTTATTACTATTACTAATAATTTTGTTCTTTATAAAAGTTTATGTCTTGCTTATACATTGTTACACTTATTTAAAATGACTTAATTGGAACAAAAACAATATTACAATACTTATACAACTTTAACCGAATGAAAACTAATACCTTCAAAATCTCCATTACAACTGTTACAAACTATCAATCTGTTTAGATATATTTTCTGACGTTCTTCACTTCACTAGACATATATTTCAGTATTTTTCAATGACATCTCGAAGATTCTAGACTTCTCCATTACTTTTTCTTGTTCGTCAATAAACTTTTTTACTCAATTTAAAATAAATCTCACGGAACTGTCGTAACACTTCTCCCTCCTTTAAAGTTATTTGCTCCAAATAACTGGACTATCAGAGACCGATTGAAATGGGATCAGTTCCATAGTATGGAATATTCGCTGGATTAGATCGTTTATTTTCTGAGGAATTGTGTACGGGCATTCTCAGTTTCGTTGATGTTTCGGACAAAGTTCTTTCTTACGTGTGGGAATTTTATGAACAAACTGGGTCATCTCTTTCGTAAGTTTTAGTTTTATCTGTAGCATGCATATCGATCCTAGTCTTGGCTTTATCACTTTTAAAATTTACACTTTTTTGAGCAAATTCGTAAACTTTTCCAATTTTTTTTTTCAAATTTTCGATGTATGTCATAATGTTTGAAACTTTATATGCTAACTTAAATAAGGAAATTAAAGTATTCCAATCTTTTTAATTACTATCAGCAACAAACATAAAAAGGGACTGACAAACAGTCTTTTGACTATTCTGTCTGATTAATAATGGATTGGCGTAGTACAAGTCTTCTTTATACCGAAGATTTTTATTAATTCTTGACATAATTTTAATTTAAAATTTTGTCCTTGATTAGAATATACCTCTAAAGAAAACCCATGTCTTTATATGACGTATATTAATATTGCTTCTGCTACTGTAGCTGCTTCTTTAGAAGGAAGGAATGAGTGCAATTTCAGGCCATTTGAAATTTAATGTATTGCGACCAAGACCAAGTACTTGTTTCCTCTCTCTGTCACTAAAATTTGACCTAGAATATCCACTGCAAGTTGTTTAAAAGGCTCTTAGGAAAGATATCGTTCCATTTTACTATGAACAGTAAAATATGTCTCAAACTTTGGCCAGTGGTTTTTTGATTTCAAAATGTTCCCTAAAAAGGCTGCTATAATATTCGTACATACGTTTAATGTGTGATTTTGGCAGTACAACTTGTTAAACTGTACATACTTCATCGGGACTTTCCCAGTTTCGATATAACTACTGGAAAGATTAAGAGATTCCCATCGAGCTCAGTATGGCTTTAAAATTCCACTGTATTTGGTTATAATCTTTCTTTTGACTCTTTTTAAGGTCTTCAGGGAAGTCTGATCGTTATTTTCTTTCTGTATAATAATTATGCTTCTTAATATTTGATCATATTCTCTTATCTTTTTTATTTTATTTTAACTAATAGCTAGTTGCTTTTACTGATTGTCAACTTTATATTCCTGGGTATCCTTTTCACATTTGTGGCCACTTGTAGGAAATCTATTTCTTGGAGACAGTATTTCTAATAGGACTATTTAACATGCTTCCAAGTGTCGATTTAGGCGATTTTCTGACCTTATTATTTAGTTCTGTCCTAGCCTGGAATTGGCTTCTGCAATTATTTTGCAAATGCCCTATTTTTCTGCAATTAAAACATCTTTGTTTTGATTTTTAGATTATTGTTGAAGATTATGCAGTATATTCAACATCGGGTTGTTTGAGTTTAGTTATCTGTGGTAGTAACTTTCCCACTTTCTCGAAATGCTATTTTTTTTAATTTTTGGCGAGATTTGAAAAAACTTTTCACCGCTTCCTACTCCTAGGCTGAGATTAATGCTCCATTTAGAGTTTAATGATACTGTTGTTGAAAAGATTGTTGCATTTTAACATCCTGTAGTCCATCTATAAATGCCTTTATACTAATTTGTTCCAGAAAATCTCTTATTGCTTAAGGGTAGACTTTGGAAAACCTACTTTAGATGTTGCTGGCTTTTCTCTAAGGCTTAAATTAGAGAGGTATAACTGGGTGCATCCTAAGAAAGAAATTGCAAGATGGTTGCTCCCTGTCTTCGAAGTGACAGTACCAAGAAGGCTGCCATTTCTTTCTCAGTTTAGCGATTTACTCAAGCTGCAACTTTAAATTAAGAACGACAAGTTTGTTATGCTGTTTAACCATTGAATATGGGTGTTTTAAAATTTTTCTAGTTCCAATTATACCTGGTTTAACTATGGAAGATGAATAAACTGTTTGTAGTGATTTGATATTGTACAACTCTATGGAGGTTATATCCCCTATTGTAACATCTGGAACTAGAGGGTGAGAAAATCTTCACCACTGTACAACGCTGTTACCACTGTAATATACTGGTAATGAACCTTAAAGGATGCTTATCCCTGCGAGCGGCTGCAAGGAATACTGGTCCCACTAGTCTGGAGGGCTGGCTCGCCTTCGTGGATTTACGAGAAGGTAAGGAACTTCGGAATAGGGGTTAAGGACTTCTAGGTCTCAGGTCCTGTAAAGAGTTTGAGTCTATGGGCTTACTTTAGAAGCCGGATAAATGTATAAGCCGAAATTTGGTACTCTTCTGGTCTCTGTCTGAATCGGTCGGAAGGAACATAAAAACCAATTTTAGAGTCTACAAATGTATTGAATATACTATGTGGTTTACAATTAAGTTAACAAGCTGTCAGATATAATTAATAATAACTCGTTCGGCGCGAAGGGAGACGAGAAGAGATCTTAGCAAGAAAGTAAAGGGGTGACAATCTGTAATACTATAATTTACTCGGGTTAGTATATAGAATTTTGTTACCTTTCGCGTATTTAGGCTCTAGCTAATGATACGCCCTTCAGTTCCTCTGGAAATCGGATTTCTTTCAGTACCCGACACTTATACGGAACTATACCCCGTCGAAATATAACAATCGCGCGTAATCCGCACCTGGTGCCGACTCTCGTATTAACAACCCTGCCCGAAGACACCGACTGCCGACTCCTCTGTTCTTCTTGTTTTTATTGAGCTCGTATTTTCAATGCCGGTTATAGTGCCAAGGTCGTGTTTTCGCTGAGTTGTAAGTCCTATGCTTCATTTGGGTCACGAGCGGTGTTATTTTTACAACAATAGTTTCTGTTTGACGTGCTTTTTCTACGTTTAAACAATTATCAAACAATGCACTAACTAGGTCAATTTCTTTGTGTAATTTAAAATGTATACTTTACTGTATTAATTATCCCTTATTTGATTTGGAATATATAATAATCATTAAAATGATTATTATTCTCCCCTATGCTACTAACCTTTATTTTACTTTCTTGCTATGTTTACATTACAATATTAGTCACTGTAACAATATTAGATAAACAATTATAATTAGTATGTATATATATATATATATATATATTATATATATATATATATATATATATATATATATATATATATATATATATATATATATATGTAAATACTTTTTTCTTTTTGGGTGTGGTAGTCAATAAAAAATAGAGCTTTGCTAAGGCGTACTATTTATTCTGAAATCCGAGCTTTCGGTGGTTATTTGCCACCTTTATCAAGGTCAGAAAGTAAGATTCATAGCATATAAAACACAACATGAAATAACATAATGTGATCTGAATTATCTGAAGGCATTAAAACTTAAAAACTTTAAAATAACTTAAAAATTAAAGAACATGTTACAAAGTTTAAAAAGTAAAAAATAAGACGACATGTTTGACAAAAAACAGTCGTCTTCGCAGGTTTGAATTCAGTCACATCTCACGAACAGAAAGAGGAGATGTGACTGAATTCACTCTTTCAATTTTAAAAGTTTTTAAGTTTTTAATGCCTTCAAAATTCAGATCACATTATGTTATTTAACGTTGTGTTTTATATGCTATGAATCTTACTTTCTGACCTTGATAAAGGTGGCAAATAACCACCGAAAGCTCGGATTTCAGAATAAATAGTACGCCTTAGCAAAGCTCTATTTTTTATTGACTACCACACCCAAAAAGAAAAAAGTATTTACATATTTTTTCCAAACTAGTCAAAAAATTTTGGACTACCTTGTCTTTCTTTTAGTATGGGTTTTTATGAGGACATCAGACCCCAATACGGACCATTACTTGTATATATATATATATATTATATATATATATATATATATATATATATATTATAATTTATTTTTTAAATTGTATTTATATTATTTTGTTTTTTTTCGAAATTATCATGTTATTGTTCTAATTTATCTATTTTACTAATAAGTTGACTTACCTCTAATTGAAATTTTTCGTAAATTTAAGATAAACTATTCATAAATTTAGAAATAGAAAGATTCATGGCTCCGAGACTTTAGTCAATATACTGGTTTGCCAGCAGATGAATGACGCGCAACATCGAGAACA